AATATTTTTTTCGTTGGTGAACTCTTTAATTTAAAGAATACATTTCTATGTTAATAAGAAATGCCATTTTTTTCAGTGGTATTTCAACAAAAAGGCTATCCCAACCAAGTAAAACAAAGAGATGGAGTGAGGAGAAGCTCAGCCCGAGCCACGACAAGGCAATCCAAATGCAATTTAGTGTCATTTTAATTGAGCTGCCCGACCAATGTCTGGGGTCTCTAAACGTATTACCTCGAAAAAACTATTCTCAAATTTAGACATCCCCAAGAGTTATTTATGGCACAAGAAAGGGAACACATGGAAAACCATTTGAATGTCGTTTAATTTAATAAGTGCCACAAAAGTGCAATTTAAGGGCAATTGCTGAGTCATAAATTTGATAGAAATCCGCATTGACCTAAACGCAATTGATGGAGAGTATTTCGCTGCAGAGGTCTTAAGATTTACGAAATAATGCAAAATAATTTACGAAATGGATGGAGTTCCTGTTTGTGGGAAATTTCGTAGCTGAAATTGAGTTCGTCACAAGTCTATTTATCATAATTTGCCTGCAAATTACTTTTTGCCCCACGCAGATGATGTTGTTGCCAACTCATGTTGCCAATTCGGAGTTTCAGGTAGCTGGAATGTAATGAGAATCGAGGCAGGGCAAATATGGCGGCCATTAAAGAGATAAACCCCCCACATAAAGATAAATGTACGCCCCCACAGCCCTAAGGATCCTTCACTCGCCTTTGGGTCGATTGTGTGTGACAGCCATAAGGACACAATTTGTCTAGACAAACTCCAGCTTAACTTTGTTTTCCCATATTTTTCTGCTTTGTTCATATCTATGTTGTACCTACACCCTGCCATCATATGCAAAGCACTTGGAATTTCATGTTAGCTAGAAACGGAAAATAGAAACGTGAAAACCAAAACTTGTTTGAGTTTTCCGTATGATGGTTAAGGCAATTTACAAAAATGTATTTTTATTATTTTTTTTTGGTAAGCTGCCTGATTTTTTAAATAAAAGTTTTTAATTGGTGAAACAAATATATTGTGTATTATTTTTCTACTTGTTTTTATGCCGACGGGTGTTGCTGTTTTTCGTTAACTACAAAAATCATTTTACATTTTCACTGGTATTTTACCATACAAACAATAAATACAGTTGTGCGCTGATAAGCTTTTAATTGGAAGAGAACTACATTTTATCACAAATAGATATTTATTTCAGATATTTGTTTGCATTTTACTTAAATTCTGTTTGCTGAAACTGTGATTTCGGTTTTGTGGTTGTCCAATTAGTGAATCATTTTTGGAAGAGTATAAGCTGATTGGCGAATATAATTGGTATAGCTTCTGTGCTCGTTGTCTGTGTGCCCCAAACCTGTATTCCTATTACACCGCCACTCGGTGAGCTGTCATAAAAATTGTGAGATGTCACTGCCACATGAGTGTGAGTCATGCCAACACTTTGGTATTGTGCCTGAGCTGGCACCTTCTGTTCGCCCATTTAAATGTGCCCCGTCATCGGGTTCCGTGGTCCGGGGTCCTTCATCCTCGCCACCGCAGAGCCATTTGACATTTTTAATTGTTTACCTGCAAAACAATGGGCGGACAAAGCTTTTGTTTTCCTCCCCAATTCGATGCGTTTCAGGAGTGCTCCGCAACCAAAAAAAATAAAACAAAAATTGAGGGCAGAAAATAAAAATTGGATTGCATGCAACAGGTTCGAGGTTAAATTGGAACGAAACGAATTCAAAGTTATACGCTTTAAATTTTTGGGGGTCAAGGACATGCAATGGCGGTCTCTTGAAATTTTCGAGTTCGCTGGTTTTGCGCCGCACATCATTTGTCTGCTGACTGGGCAGTCATGAATCTGCATTTACTTTTGGGCCTCCATTTCAACTCTCTGCCCACACAACAAAATCGGGAGTCTGGGGAGCCATGTGTGCATGAATATAATTTCGGGTTATGGCCTGTGGAATGGCATATCGGTTAGCATGGAGGAGCTATTAAAAGCCCAACCAGCACCCCATCTCAACCCCAAGCGATATCCTGGTACCTTGGCCGACGCCTTTGTCTTCGGACTTATTGGTAATCCTGTGTGTTAGGGGTAGTTGGTCAGTGGGCGGTGCTGACGTTTGACATTGACTGGCTGATAATATAAATATCATTGTTGCTTGCACATAATTAAGTCGGACAGTCGACAAAGCTTTTCAGCCACCGCTTACTTACAGTGGGACAAGTTAAGCAGTTATCAATTGGAAATAATTATAAAAATACAATTAGTAGACAAACTGAATTTTAGTGCATTAGTTTTGTTTTTAATTTTAGCCACAATTATAATACACTTTTTGTTTTTGAAAAGTTTTGGAATTTCCATTAGAATACGTTTTAGATATTAGGTATTGCTTGAATAATAGATAATAATTTTGTATTTTAACCATTTAACTTAACTTTTTTTTCATATAACAAATATTTATTACTGTCAATTAACTATTATATAAGTTTAAGCTTATCATGGCCTTGTTTTATTGAGGAATTTGTGTTTTAAATCCAGATGGAATAATTTCCTGTGGTTAGCTTATAGGATATTTTGGATTCAACCACTGTATTATACTTGATTGTGTTTTTAGCCTTAATGCCACTGGCTTCAACTGTATTTGTGTGCGTGGCAGGGTGAGTGTGTGTCTGTGCTGGGTCCTGGGAAATAATGCGCCTAGTGCCAGCTCCAGTTGGCAGTCTGTTGGCTTTCAGCTTTGGTCGCTAATTAAGCCTGTTTATCGAAGTAAGTTAGCTGTTCAACTTTCGCTCCACAGCCCTTTATCCATCCCGCACTTAGATGATCAGCTCAGTTTAGTTATATCAGCTAACTAAATTAGCTGTCTGCATGTGTGGCGGTGAAATTGGTAGTGGGGCTGTGTCACCACAGCAGAATTCGGAGCACCCTCAAGTGCAATAATAAAGCGATTCTCGTAAATGCCGCAAAGCCTTCAAGTTCAAGCTCTAATTGAGTAAATTATCGGGGGAAACGAAAATGGCTGGCCATACATTGTCGTACATTTGCCAAACAAATTGCCTTGTTTTTGTGGTTCAGAACTGTCATCCTCGGCATATCCGGGTGAAAGTAAAAAGTGGCCTACAATGTTTGCGGTTTGCTTTGGTAATGGCAATTTATTAGCCGCCAAAATTAATTAAATGTCAACGCACAGCATCGGCAATGAAAGTCGGAAAAACCACAATTAAATTGCTACCAGATAGTTAAGATAAAACTATCAGCCATTAGCCATCTGCTACATGTTCTTGTTTCCCCAATTTGCTCCCCAAAAAGTTGGTCGCTTTATAAGCATTTATGAGCTCTACCTTTTGCCAAAAGTTTTCACCCTGCATGCATTTTATTTGCCATATCTAAGCTGCTGATTTTCGATTTTCATAGTTTCCTCTGCCAACTATTTTATCCAATGAAATAAATGGGCCATTAAGCTTAAATGGAGGAAAGTTTAACTGCAGGAAAATTGAAACAATTTGTTTTTATTTTAAATATTGGCTGGTGTTTTGGTATTTTTCTCATGTTTCTCGTGTTTCTAAATTTCCAATGGAGTGTGTGAGTATCACGAAAAAGGGGTAAACATGAAAACAAAAAAGAAAAAAAAAAAACTCTGAATGAAACTATTTCCGCTTCATTGGTTGGCAAATATTTGCTACTTTTGTTTGCCATGAAAGCGGACGATATATCTAGAGGGCCCAGAAACTCATGACAATTGTGAAAAGATAAATGTGCGCAGCGATGCGCGTGATTATTTATATTATTACAAAGGAATCTTTTTTATGATAATCATTCTGTATTTGCAAAAATTCATTCAGACCATTGAATCCTGCAAAAGTGCTGTAAAACTGCGCTCAAGTTTGCTCTGAAACGGAATCTCCTCTGACATGTTTGGCAAACAGAAGGCCATGAATCAAGTTGAAGCCCCCAAAAACCCCTAGACAAACAAGCAGTGAAGTCCTCCCACTTCTGACCTCTCACCAAAAGTGATTTGCACTCTGGGGTCTGTCTATGCAGGTCCTGCGAATACATGTTGGCCCTGCCTGGACGAATCTTGTTGGGATTGGTTTCCTCCATCGTTTGTCAGGGGTAACTAATGTGTGAGTGGACTATCCTTCGTCCCCCCAGTGTTCCCCACCGTCCATCCGTTTTCAGATAATCATATGCACACAAACGAGGAGCATCAGGTGCATGAATCACAAGGCTTTTGTAACTGCAGGGGATGTGTGTGGGGGATCCAACTTTAATTAGCAATTAATGAAGCGAGCAACAGGGAGATTATAAGGTATTTTCTGGAATTATGCGCCCCTTCATCACACAATTGGAATTGCACTGTTAAAAATATTTAGTTCGTCAATAAAATTATGGCATACAATACAAGTACTAAGTTTATCTGAGAAAAGAAGATATAATGCACACAAAAGGATATTTCAAAACTAATAACACAATAAAAGTACAGAAAAAAACATTTCATAATTTATGTCTTTAAAGCAAGTAAATAATCTATCTATAAAATTAATATATGTATAATATACAATTTTATTGCTATTATTAAGTATAAATATTTAATTATTAAAAAAGAAAATATTTCTAGATCCTACATTTTTTAGTTACAAAAACACGTTAATATCATAAATATATTTTTCGTTTGCGAATGAAATGTTTTTATCTAAGAACATGTTTAAAACAACTGCAAAAATCACTGAAAACACAAGTATTTCAGTTGACTGTCCTTATCTTGGCGCTTGTGACTAATGATGAGCAGTGTTTTCAGTTTTAGCGAAATGCGCCGAGAAATTGTTTTGGCTAGCTGATGGGTGTAAAGTTGTCCGGACAAGTTCCGCTAATTGCTGGTTGATAAGCGAAGTGTAAGTGTCCGAGGAAAGAGGAAATGCATGTAATTAATTCTGCCGCCGATGAGAGGGCCATAAAAGCGGGTGCTGAGCCGCCGGTTGCATCACAGTGAAATCGAATCTTGGCCAGCTGGACGATGATGGATATTAAGACGTTGATCCTGCTAGCCGCAGCTCTGGCCATCTTTGCCAGCCACACGAATGCCGATCCAGTTGAAATCGACGATTCCGAGGAATGTCCACCGGATGGTAATAATGGTGGTGATAATAATAATGGTGGTAACAATCAAGGTAGGGACGATGACAGTGCTCTGTGTCCGAACTTCCAGCACATTCGCGATCTGATCGATCAGGTGGCTTTGCGGGAATTGATCGAAGTGCACTACAACTGTGATAAGAAATTCCGGCGCGCCATGCGGTTCTACAATACCACGGGTTTCGTTAAAGTAACCCAGGAACTGACGGATACTACTGCTTACCAAACCGTTCTTAGCCAGCTCCAAGAAGCCGATGTGGATATTGCGGATATTAAAACCGTTGCACAGATATTCTACTGCATAATCCTGCCAGTCAAGAAACTGGACAGAAATTGTGATTGCAAGGCCGTCAGGCACCATTCGTTTGTGGACGATCTGCTGTATATAATGCCGCACCAGGCAGTCCATGACTATATCGCAGAGTCTCAGAATAACCAGACCAATTTTGGAAATTTCACAAAGGCGGTAGTTTCGAAGGAGTTCCAGGACACTCTGAAGGCCAATGTTGTAAGTACACTTTGATTCTTAATATCGTTGTAGAGTGCCCAACAAGTTCATACATTTTAGGACTTAAAAGGGTCATAAAAACCAAAATTTTAATAAACTAAGAAACAATTTACCTGAAATTATGTCCATGTCGACACCTTTAGTACATTCTGCTTTAAAATTAGGTTTTTTGGTTTTTTCTAAAGGTTTTTGGTAACGCTAGTAAAGAAATATATTTTATTTTGAATATTTCATTGAATTTATTTATTTATAAGAAACATAAAATGTAATAAATATTAACAATTTATGGCTTTTTGTGATTTAATTTAATTTTATATATTATTAGTTGTAAAAAGTCTCATTTGTGATAGTGTGGTCATGTATTTATGATGTATATTGATGCCTTTGTTACCTTATTCTCATACCAACGAACTTGCAGAAGAAGAGCGACGTGGTTAAGCCATTACGCACCCTGCGCAAGAATGGCTGGGACATCCCGGAGCTGCTCCGCGCCATGTTGACCATTTTCCAGTGGTGACCTGACCACTCGTTTGAGTGCCCATTTGAGTATCTCGCTATTGTATGTAAACCCAATAAAGCAACAAGTGAAAGGAAATAGCTCCGCAAGGGGGCCCCCATGGCCGACACCTGTCCATTAACTGCTTGGAAAGTGGGTGGCACAATAACCACCCGCTGGGAACGGCAGGACATCAAAAGTTTTCAGGTGTCCTTTTTTTTCAGCACGCTCCATTTGTATTTTCCATCAATTTGTAACTGCTGCGGAAGAGCAAGGAAGGATTCGTGTTGGAGATAATCAATCCATGATGTCCTTCGTGGGCTTCTGTTCCCTTTGTTCTTTTGAGCTCGACACAGAGTGCCTCTTCCCTAATTTTCCTTTCAGCTTACTCTTTGCCATTTCCAGAAAATCCCAGCGCCGTCTAAGCTTCTTGGAACGGCTTAAATACAATTTCCTTAACTATGCATTGCTAATTAGGGATTTTGTAAGCAGAGATAGACCTGTAAAACGTGTTCAATTTAAATTCATCGATATTTCTATGTAGCAGAGAAAAAGAGTTAAATACAATTGGTTGCTAGTTCAAAACTTGTTCCCTTAAAGTAATATTTGATAACTTAGTTTTATTTATCGTAATTAATTTTTACATTATGAATTCTGGATATAGAAACATGTAAAAGGAAACGTTATTCTGTCTTGCATATGCGGTGGAATTAAATTATCTTCAAACTTCATATTTGCGAAAATAGTCCAATATTTAATTAAGTGTTAGCAAGCTTATTTGAAAACAGAAATAAATGAAAATATTTTAGAAACTAAACACCTATTTGTGTACCCATAAGTATAAGTTACTTACCGTAAGGTATAAGTTACCAAGAAGACATATATTTAGATACAAATGTCTGGGTACACTTCTACACTGAACACGTTGCGGAACGGTTTTTAGATTAATGTATTTGCCAATTCAAGATAACATTTTAAAGTAATCATTATGATTTAATCTGCAATTGATTTAATCTACAATTTATGAAATCCTATATTGAAAGTATTGAAATTAACCAAATCATAGAAATAAAGCTCTTTAACTCAAAAATAGATTGTTGTTTTTTGCCAATTTGATGAATTCGAAAAATAATCGGATCAAATTTAAATGAAATCAAAAATGACAGTAGAAACAAATCCTTTAATCAGCTTCTGTTTGTGTTTAGTAGTTGTAACCACCGCGTACTTAAAGTACTTTCCTATTGAAGGCCGACCTCCCACTGCCACTTGGCAGCCCCAGCTGGGTATTTGATTTACCATCAGTGCTGCGAACATGTTTTTAGTCATCGAAGGGAGTTGCTTATCGGATGGTTATCAGGATTTGTGGGCCGCTTGGCGGCACTTGGCAAACGAATTAAGACTCGTTACACTTTCATAGCCTGCGCTCAATTTGCGAGCTGCCAGCTGGCGGCAGCTCCTCCTCCTCCCCCTTCTCTAACTCGAACATCCTTCAGCAAGGACTCCCTACCTATGCAATCGTGCAATTTGAGCGGCACAAATGCCTGCTCATGGCAATTGATTTATGCCTGCGACGTGACTTCATTTCGGATCTGAATTCGGGGTATGGGCTGCAGCACCTGTTGTCGTCTCTGCTCTTATTAAATTAACAAAATAACAACCTCACCGCCGTGTGCTTGTGTGTAGGCGTGCCTATCCTGGCCAGGCCAAATCCGATGCCATTATGCATTATAACTGTATAAACAAATCGTGTGCGTGCCAACCCCCACCGAAATACGTGCCTCGCACAGGAACAAAAAACACTCAAATCCTCCAATCTGGATACTGAATCCCGAGTCCTGGCCAGACCCCCGGCTCGTGTGTCAATCAAGTTAAATGTTAATGAATTACTCGGCATCGGTACAAGGACATGCTGACAGGACCAAGGCGAATGCGGCCGACAAGTTGTTTTTCTTTCCACACACTCTTGTTTACCTATTTCTTCTGCTGCGGTTGGGCTGTCTTAATGTTCAGATCTTCAAAGCAGTGTGGGTGACTTTAAGAGGCTTTGGTCAAGCCAAACACAAGGAATACAAAAACAAAGAAAATTTATACCTTTCACTATGCGTTTGCTCAGTATGCTTATTTTAAATAGCCCCATAAACAAGATTAAAATAAAATGGTAAAAAATTAAATAGTATAAACTTAACTTTTTTTTGTTATTTCTTTTTTTTAAGTTTTTTTTTTATAAAAGCCGAATGTTTTTGAAATATTCTTTTATAGCTAACACTACAAGTATAACAAAGACAAATCTTAAATATACGTTTAATTCCACAGGGGAATTCTTGCTTAAAATCGAATTATACATCATGTTCTACGAGAAATATCCACTGACTGATAAAAATAATAACTAATACAATTCTACTTCTAATAGTGATCCTACAACGCATGAGAATTTTTGATTTTTAAATTGACAACTTGCGAATAAGTATTTTCCCAGAACGAAGGTAACTTTTTAAGGGGTAACTACCTGACCGAACCTCCACTCTAAGCCCATTTATTCACTGCCATTGCCATGGTCAAAATGGAAAGACGTTAGCCTATCTGCTCGTGAGTCGCCTGTCGTCGTCCTTCTGATTCTGACTGTCAGCGAACAGGGGCGAAATAAATCGTTGCATACTTACGTGAGCAAACAATTTTCCCTCTTGCTTTCGCCTGCGAAAATCGAGGAACGCGAGCACTACGTGTCATTGAATTCATTACGCTGTCAGTCCCTTTTTTTCTGGGCGTATGCAGTAGATTAAACCAGCAAAAACAAGGCAAAAAAATATTACGCTTAAGCTATTTGCATGTTGAAATAAAATAATTAATTAACGCTGTCGTTGGCGGGAATCGTGATTTGGTTTCCAAACAGCGTCGGTTTATGTGTAATGTGTGCAAATGATCCATCAACACCAGTCAAAAGGTCGAAAAGTATTCAAATTGTTGGCTTTTTTTTTCTGCATCGACATGTGTACATTCGACACTAATGACGAGGGATGCCAGCTTTTATCCGCGAAAATAAATAAGAATCAGCGGTGAACATATATATTACATATAACCGCCGCAATCGCTTTAAAACTAACCAAAGAAATGAATTAATTACAATCCAATTATATAATCATTGCAATTAATTATTGATCCGCAAAAGTCAATTAAAAAAATTCACAGAAAATGGTTGGAAACTAATTACTGCAAATGCCTACTGTGGTTAACCAAATTTGAGTATTTGGCAACGTAAATGCCCAAATAATTCACATAAATTATCTAGTTAAAGAAATAATCTTTCACGTGATTAATATGCTCATTTAGCTTAATGATTTTTTGTATTTGATACTATAGAGTTTGACCTTTAGCAAAATAAACAAAAAAGAAATTATTTATTACAATTGAATTATAATTAAAGCTTTATTAAAGTTAACTTTTAAATATATATTAGCAAATTTTGCTTCTGCTGACTTAAAGCCATTTTTCTAAATAATAATTATACGAATAAACATTTTTTACTAAACATATATACATTTAGAGCTAATTCATTTTAAAGTGCCCTAGCATCGAAGGTTAATAAATTATGCTAAATTTTCTGTAGTCCCTTTATAACTGGCCCAAACAATGGACTGCAAATTTGTCATTGTCAAGGCAACAGTGCAATCGAAGGGGAATTGCTAACAATTGTTGGCTTGATTTGTTCTGAAATTTTATTATGGTAACGAATGCCGTTCATTCTCTTCAGCTTTGCAACAAATGCGATTTGAGTCGATTGATTTCCACCAACGATTCGATTGCTAAGTGCAATATGCTGGGTCTTTTACCATTCAATGTTTTGGCTACAAATCGAGAATTTGCAATAATTCTCATGCAAGCTCTGAAGATTCACTTTAGCTATAGCTATAGTAGTTTTAATTAGTCAAAAAAAGTTATAATGTTGCATATTTTCAAACTGGCTTGCTTAGTATGGCAGCATTGATAAAATGATATTTTATTTTATTGTTCTTTATGGACATTGCCCTTTTTTTTTCTATAAGGCTCGGACCCTTCTTCTGTCCGATTTCTATTACTTAGTTTTGCTCTTTGTTCTCTGCTATTGGGAATTTGAGCTGCCCTGAAATGTGCTAAAATAATGTGTTTCGTTGATAAAACTTTTCCCACTCAATGCTCTCATAACACTTCAGATTTATGGTCCGTGCTATCGGTGCTCCGTTGGTCTCCCTCCGGCGAATTGGGTAAGTGAAACCGCACGGGCCAATGGCCATAAATAAATGTGGAATATCGGCTAGCAAATCTCATTACGTGGACCCCGGCCATCTTGGCCGGCGAGAATCGATGAAATTTTCCATCTGCGAAACCCAATCCCACCCAGAAGCAGCTTATCTGCGGTCGTCGATTGGTCAAGAGGAGTGCACATTCCCCAGATAAATTGTACTTGCATTGCAAGATTTCGCTGTGGCAATTCGATCGGCTTCACACACTTAACGAGCGTGTTTAAGTGAATTTTGCGGTTTCCATTAATGTATAAATTAATGGCCTTCATGCCAATTCCGGAAAAAGAATGGTCGAAAAATGCGAACACAGGAGGGATACAGCAGTTATTGCAATTCCTCATCGTCGAGCTGAACAATGAAGGCTTAAAGTTTCCACTTTAAATGCCGACCAGCTGAAAACATAAGATTCACTTCAGAATCAAAAACCAAAAAGAAACCTATATAGATACTCTTGGCCAATTAATTACAGTTTCATTAAATGAACGAAAAAGTCTTTTGCTGAATGTGTTTTCGTAAAAATTTAATTTTAATGCCTGTAAATTTGTTAAGTTGATACAAAGCCCTATGTTCGAAAATATCTGCAGGCAAATTGACATCAATTATTTGCGCTTACTATAATGCATTGCAGGGCTTTAATTTGCAGTCGGCATAATTGGCGAGTTAAATTCCATAAATGTTTTACAAGTGAAAAGCATCAATTGGCAGCAGGCCAATGCATTTTCCACAAAAAGCACCAAACGGATAAAGTAAAAGCGAAAACTATGAGCATTTTCTGAAATTTTGAATGGACGTGCAGTAGTAATTATAATGGAATACGAATCTTTGGCAAATATTCTAATTATCAGTTG